TCTGGTTTGGAACTTTATTGGAATGTTTCTGTTACATTTGAAATTATATGAATTTATTATCATTGATAATATTTACAGTATATTAGCACTTTATTTGATTTCAGGGGTGTTACATATATGGTTTTCCAAAAGTGCAACACATTTAAAAGATTCTCTAGCTCCCTTGTCACCTCCTCCCATGCTTGCCTCCAGGACTTCTCCTGAGCCTCTCCCATTCTCTGGAACTCCCTACCACAAACTGTCCAGCTATGTTCTACTCTGTCCACTTTTACGCGATCCCTGAAACTTTTTCATTTCAGAGAAGCCTGACCCTCCCCTTTTAGATTGTAGCTGTAATGAGCAGGGCCCTCTGATTCCTCCTGCATTGAATTGTATTGTAACTCTACTGTCTGCCCTCTTGTTGTAAAGCGCTGTGCAAATTGTTGGCACTATATAAATCCTGTATAATAATAAAAATAAATAACGCAGGGCCCATAGACTTGCATTGGATGTGGGGACGCCAAGGAACAGTCCACTGCTGGAGTGTAGGGGAGTTGAGAGAGCCAACGATCGGGTCAGTAAAGATACTTTTTTCGCCCCCTAGACCTAAACAAGCATTTAACCCTTTCAGTGTGTAGGTAGTCTCGCTGCAAGGGAGGATTTATATTTTCCCTGGCGTTGGGCTTTAAAACATTGTATGCAGATTACCTCATTGTTCCTGAGTATGCTGCTGCTTTTTAACATATCTAAAAATGATCTGGTTGATGATGTTATCACCGATATATTCTGTGCTGTCAAGCAATCAGGCTTACCTAAAATAAGCTCTTTAAAAGTGGATATTTCTGATTTAAAGACTTTTACAGATGCGAGAATAAGCAGCTTATGATACCTTTCTATAGCACTCACCAGGTCAGGAAAGGATTTGTTCAATTTTTATATTCATCTCTCATCTAAGCATTGCTTTCTAAAGCCTCCTGCCAACCATGCTACCTCAAGACCATATGAATGTTGACACTTTTGTTTTACAGATTCCTTTGCCCTTTTTTCAACCATGATACTGGATCCACATCTGAAATAGAAATCACTATTGTATGCAGCATGTTGTGTTCCTTTATTTATATTCAAAGTCACCTTCAAAATGCACAGTCTACCATTAGCCTACAGAGGAGATGGTATAACTACTGTGTATTTTTGTATAAGCTACAGGGAGTCTTCCAAATCTCTTTCTAATTATCAGCAGGTCAGTGTTGCTAATCTGCCCCCATGGCTATGGGAGACAGACTGTTGGCAGAAGGAGTACTGACAAAACCACCCATAACAGGTACACACTTATGACAGGCTGCTTAACTGACTGTAGGCTTCCATTACCCTTCCATTACTCTTGCTAACATGCTGTACTGCACCAGGATGACTCTTTAGGTGCTGTCTTCATACCCCGATGTGTTTAGTGATCCCAGCTGTAGACTATGTGTGAAATGCGCCAGTTACTTGCATTGCACAGTTCTTCCCTACATCCCTAAACCCTAGCTGAGGCTTGTCTGCTGCCCTGGCATACCTGCAAAGGTAGAGTCTTTAAATAATAAAGTCCATGGTTATCGGCAGAGTCCAGCAGCTGGTATCTTCGGTGGGTTTCTATATCGCAGCAGCAAGGTGTAACGCTGATCCTTCCCCAGCCAAGGATTGACGACAGAAAGGCAGGAGCAAGACTACTCCTACTCTCGACTCTATGGCTCTCTCTGGCTCCAGAGCATTTTCTCTTTGATATGTCCAGGATCAGTGGGTTGAGCCCAAAAAGCCAGCCAAGAAAAAAAACCCGGGAACTAAGGTTAACCCTAACCTTCCCATCCGGGGCAGAACCTAGCTAGCTAAATTGCAACCCGCTTACAAATGCGTTAGGGAAAGGTGATCCCTGGGCAGGGACATCGTGGAAGCAGCCATACTAGTCATGATTCAATAAAGATCGCTTTGAAGGAAGCTGTGTAGCTCCTATTCATCTACAGCACCAGTGTCAAACTGGTGGCCCTCCAGCTGTTGCCAAACTACAAGTCCCATGAGGCATTGCAAGATTGACAGTTACAAGCATGACTCCCAAAGCATGATGGGACTTGTAGTTTCACAGCAGCTGGAGGGCCGCCAGTTTGATACCGCTGATCTACAGCATAGGTTGTAGACATGACATATAGCCGGCTGCTTATGTTTCTACACAAGTAATGACTTTGATTTCACACTTCATGTGACATGTTAGTGGATTCGGACACTTCTGTTATCTTGTTTTTTTTCATCTTCAAAGAACAATAGCTACATATACTGTATATGGGTTGTTGTAGCTTCAAGCTTGATCAGAAAGGCTATTGCTCAATGTGACATTGTTACATTAGGGTGTATCAGGCTGACAGGTGCAGGGATGTGAGCGACGTGTTGGCAACAAATCTGGACATTTACAAAAACTGGTACAAAAAGACACCCAGTGAAGAAATCAGATTCTGCCATTTACTTAAACAGTTCCTGCTTGTTGTGGATATAACAAGACTCTAGCATGTTTCACAGAACTGGATAAGGCCCAATTCACACTGATGTGGTGCAGGATTCTCAGCGAATTCTGTGCGCTTCCCTCACTGCATCAGAATCGCACTCCGTTCATGCCAACTGCTTTGGGTGTCAATGTTAAGTTAACAACACCCCCAAAAGAGGTTCACAAAACGCACTGCATTTGTGTGAAAACCCATGCATTCCGATTCCATTGCAAAAAACAAAGGGTCCTGCACCTTTTCTGCAAGTGCGTTGTGCAATTTGAGCCATACAAAATTAATGGTTTAAATTGCACAGAAAAAGAATCGCATGTGATTTGAACAGGAATGCAGTGTGATTCCTGGCCAAACCACACTGCATCAGTGTGAACCGGCCTTTATTTCTGCAAACACGTAACCCTTAGATGTCTGGGTGTACTTCACAAACCAATATACTGTAAATTTGCAGCATCTGCAAGATGTACCTTTATTTATGTGACCGATAGATGTGCACATAAGTATCAGTGTATGGCAAATTTTGATTAACAATAACTTACCAGAAAGTGAAAGTTTTCTCTTCATTAGTTTTGTGGGGTATTGTTAAATATTAGGGAGGGTGTAAGCTTGGGGTCTTAATGGACTGAGGGGAAAGGGAAGCAGGAGATATGAGAAATGCAAAAGAAAGGGGTAGAATGAATATTTGAGGAAGGGGGTTAATGAGGAAGAGTTTTAAAGAGGAGTTCTGGCCCCCCTTCCCAAAAATGAAAAGTCAGCAGCTGCAAATATTGTATCTGCTGACTTTTAATATTATGGCACTTACCTGTCCAGGGATCCAGCAATGTCCTCACCCTGAGCCGATTCTTTAATCTACTGTCCGTTGCTGGCTGCCATCTTGCCTAAAGGAAACTGGCAGTGAAGTCTTGCGGCTTCACAGCCGGGTTTCATAATGTGCATGAGCGAGTCGCGCTGTGCTTTTGTGAATGAGCTGCAGTCCTCTGGGACCTGTGAAATGTGCCGGGGGGGGGGGGGGGGGGGACAAACTCAGTTTGCTGCAGTGAACTAAGATGGAAGTGGAAGCAGGTACCTGTCAAAACCAGCACCCTCTCCCCCCAAAGGGTGCCAAATGTGGCAGTGGAGGTTGGGTGGAGGCAGATAAGCAGAACTTTCACTTTTGAGTAGAACTCTGCTTTAAGTTTGACTTTAAGAGTCTCACATTTGGCTAAAAGAGTGTTCTGTTTCAAATGCTGCTTTATGCATTATCATACCTCCTTAAACCTGGTCTGTCTAGTCGTTTTTTCCCTTCGGTAGACAGTATGGTCACCTGCTGACTTGGCACCATCCACAGGCAGCTTAACTCTTCAAGACAGCGTTGTTAAATCCAACACAATTGTACTTCAGCTATTGTATTGGCTGTAAACCACCACTAGGTGTCCAGATACTACTGAACAGTAATAACTTCATGCTGTTTAATACAACAGAAAACAATATATATAAGTGAGGCAGAACAAAGAGACTGATATAACTGCAGCAGCAGTGCCAGGTATGGCTGAATTAGTCATGTTGATTGCATAGGGACAGGAGGAGATCTTCCACCAACATAACTCTATTAATTTTCCTAAACCACGGTTTTAGAATTTTTAATGAATACATTTAAACTGTTTTATATCTGTTTTTTTGCTATCAATTTACAATGTTTGTTTTAGAAATAAGCATATAATATAAGGCAAATAGTTGCCAGAAGACTATGAGTTCTATAAGCGACAGAACAGCACATATTTTCTGCTTTCAGATTTCATCCTCCTCACTTAAACTATGGACTGAGCCGTCTGATAAGTGATTAATTGCTGCAATGTGTTATTCATGTATGAATTTCAGCTTGAGCTACTGTGGTCTGTAAACAACAGGCATTACATCAAAGAAGCAAGGGGATAGCCTGGAAAAAAGGAAAAGCAGCCTAAAACTGCCCCCCCAAGCTTAACCCTTAATACTGACTCCTTTCGGCCCTTTAAGAGGTTTCTGATGCCGGGAAGGTGGGGCTAATGATCATGTGACCATCGGGATTGGCTTTTACAGCAGTCACATGATCAGCTTTCTGTTAGGTGCTGGTAATTGTGCATGGGTTGCACAGGGCATGCTCAGGTTTGTTTACATTTTGGTATGCGGATATGCAGCCTCTTTGCGTCAAGGCCCATCCTCCGAGAGGCCACATATATGCATACTGTCAGCGTGAAGGAGTTAAAAGAAAGATTCAAAATTAATGCAATATTTCATATTTACCTTACTGAAAAAAACATTTGAAAACATTTTAATTTTTTTCAAATACTACTGCTTGTAGAAAGTGACAGTATTGTTAAACGCTAGACACCAAAAATGACGTCCCCCTGAATTTTCTAGCTTGCTATCCATCTTATTAACTGTCTTATGTGACTATTTGATTTGCCTTAAATGTTGGTTTCACTTTCTGACTGTTTTCTCTGTCTTCCCTCTGCTATGGCACCTATCTTGTGGATATAGAGTAAAGATGCTGGAATCAGGACTTTGGTTATGTTGGATGAGCAAGGAGGTAAGTTCAGTTTTCTTAGGAGAAATATTTATTCTAAAAAGCTTTTACTTCCACTCTATGACTTCCTATGATGAACCACTCAGAAGTGTTATATTTTCTAGAGGTGCACACCCACACTGCTTGGACATCGGGCTTCTCCAAAGTAACATTTGCAACTTCTTATGTGTCTTCGTTAAGCTGACAATACATTAATTGAAATTTATCCCATTTTCAGCCAAATTTCAATCCATGTATGGGCAGGCTGGTTGTACAGAAGTTGATCTACCAATCAACTTCTGTACAACCACCCTGTTGGAAAATCTCAGTGTATTCTGCTGGCAGGGAAGTCTTTCCTCTATCAGAACACAATAGCTCAGCGGGAGTGATTCTCCCATCCGCCTCGAATGTGTGGATGGGGGAAATCCAGTCTTTTCTTTTTTTTTACCCGCTGTTGGAACAAAAGAAAACAAAGAATTATCTATGGGCTGCTTTATTCGTTCACTCCTATCTGACTTTCAGTGATTCTATGCTCTTGGGCACTATGGGGCACTATATAAAATACACTTTAGAGTTGTTTCCATAGAATTTCCTTGTCAGATTTGTTTTCTAGGTACGTCGCCAGGTTTGTTCTCAAACCTCCCTGATTGCACAGATTTGACACTTGCATACAGAATGTGATAACATGTGCATAGCCAATTTGTACACATGTACTAGGGCCAATTTAGAGAAGAATCAATTAACCTACCAGCTTGTCTTTGAAGTGTGGGAGAAAACACAAGCACAGGGAGAACATGCAAACTCCGTGCAGAAAGTCCATGAAACAAGTACCCCTTGTGCGACAATGTCATCGACTAAGCCAATGTTCTGCTTGCAAATGCTAACAAATAGCCACTAAACAAACATACATGTTGGTTCATGTGAAAGTGTTTTCCATCATTTCATTAGATCAAAAGTATATCAGAAGTGATAATATTTAACGTAGGACTCCAGCCATGTAATAATAAAAAAATACAAACAGATGAACATTTCTTGCAGAATGAGGTGAAGTCGTAAGCTCTGAGGAGCAGGGCCCTCCTAACCCTCTTGTATTGAACAGTATTGTTGCTGTATTGTCTCCCTTTATATTGTAAAGTGCTGAGGAAACTGTTGGCTCTATATAAATCCTGTATAATAATAATAATAATAATAATAATAATAATAATAACAACCATGTTCTTCTGTTGTTATTGTTTATGGGTGAACATTTTCCTAAGCATACGGACCTGTCTGCACACACTATTACAAGCTCAAATGCCATAGCCCCGGTTCACACTGGTACAACTTGTCATGTGACTTGACAGATCAAAGTCACATTACAAATTGCACCCTATTTACGGCTATGGAACCCTTCAAATCAGTGCAACTCTGAGTCAGACCAACTTTGAAAAAGCTACCTGCACTATTTTTTACAATTTCATGTGCAACTTGCATTGACATCTGTGCATGACGACGCACAGATGTCAGCAAACCACACATGAAGTGGCACTGATCGACAGCTTTGAAGAAGCGCAATTTCAAAGCTGCATTTGGTGTGAACCAGGGCATAAAGATAGACCTATAATGTAAAGCTGACCGTACACAAGTAAATTTCCAAATTAACATTTTCTACAGAAAATTGGTATGAACATTTGAACAAAAATTATCAGTACTATTGATAACTTGATTAATGTCATTTGAAAGCACTGTTGCTGTTAACATTTGACTTTGGAATTAATGGACTTTCCCAAATATAAAAATGCATCCACTCGTTTAACATGTTTATTACTGAACTTTGAATTTTGACTGGTCTGCTTTAAAATAAAAATGGGATATTGTGTGTTGTTGACTTCCTGTTCAGTTGTCCAATGGAAAGATGCTGCCAAAAGTAACATTTCCCCAAAACTACCATAGCACCTAGTTTTCAACTACAACATACAAACCAATGTCAGATACATTTCAGATATCTTAGTTTTTGTGCAGGTAAGGTATTGACTGTTATTTTTGTGGCTTGATCATATAAAGTAATGTTTTATTTAGATCTGACACTTCTTTTAAAGGGTCAGTCCGCCAAGAAACACTTTAGTTGTTGGAAAATTTGGGAAAGGAAGTGATACATTTCCAAAAAACATACCGAAATTGGCCCCTGAAAACAATTTAATCTGTCACATAATAGGTCTAGATCTGTTCATGTTATCAGTTGGAAGTGAATTACACAATCCTCTAATAACTGTCTGTATGGTACAACAGAGGTGAGTCCTCCCTTCTTCTGTAACTTATAACTTGTTTTTTTTAACTCAGGGGTCTCAAAACTGAGGCCCAGGGGCAGGATGTTGCCCTTTGCTTGACTTTATCTGGCCTATTCCTTCCACTGACACCATCAGCGGGGTAGTATTTTTCCCGCTGGCAGCAGAGACGATACTAATTCTCTCACTTATACCAATAATTAAATTTTTTGCTCCCACTGACCACCAAGCCAATGGTGCTCTATACTTCCAATGATGCCAGGGAATTTTTTACTCCCTCTGGCCACAGTCTGGCCCTTCTAAGTTGAAGGGCAGGGCAGTAAAACTGGCTCTTTGTTTCGAATATTTGGAGACCCCTGCTTTAGCTGATGAGCAGCTGAGAAAACAGTAGCTCAATTGCAAATGGATTTCAGGGGATAAATAGCACTTGTTTCAAGAGATATTTCAGCCAGAAGTAAGAGAAATACAGATGGATGGAGAGGACCTTTTAAAAAAAGGTCATAGAAATGCAAAAGTTTCATATTTATAATGGTTTATTCTATACAATTTAATTATACCAAAGTCACAGCTTTCATTTTTGTTTTATACGCCAATGGAAAACAGTAATATGTATATCAATATATCATTTAGGGATCACTTTATAGGATATTCCCAAAAATGTCCATTTACGTATTTGTCACAGGCCAACAAAGGAAACCATTCCCACGAGTGCCCACCACTGTGTTTTTGTTCTATATATTCATCATAAACACAATAAAAAACAGAGAGTTTTATGTACTTGCCAGGGTTTCAATATAAATGACTTGTTGTACCCTCAAGCTAAGTCAGCTTTTAAATGGATCCATATGTCACTTCAGGTGACATGGCAGAATGGCTTTTTAGAACTGTAGCTAAGCTTTGGACCGCATTTCTGTTGCATCAGAAATAAGCAGGTCAATGCTGGTCCAGTCATCAACCCTGTTTATACATGAGGAAGATCATATTGCTGTAGCTTGAAATTGATAATCCCAGATGATCATCCAGCTATCTGTAAAGATGTAGAATGGCTGGATGAAGAGTTGCCATTGGCTTACAATGTTGCTGAGTGTACAAAAGAAAGATATTTGAAGGCGATATAAGCATTAAAGATTATTTGGCCACAAAGTAATAAAAAAAAATGAAAACAAATTATAAATACATTTCTGTAAACTACAATATATCCAAAAAGGGAAAACATTTTATGTCACCTTGCATTTTTGATTTGGAAAAGAGCCAACTTTAAAAATATTTAAAATAGGCTTCACCACGTATTGGGATAAGCCATATGTACCAATGAAAGGTCATATCAAAGCAACCCATAGTTTGTACAGTTACCCATATAACTAGCTGTATCAGAGTGCTGGGAAGACCAAAACTTGAATGGCCAATAGGTCCAACTCCAAAGGAAAACTTAAATAGCCAATAGGTCCAACTCCAAAGGAAAACTTAAATAGCCAATAGGTCCAACTCCAAAGGAAGACCTGAACCCCAAATACTGAACCAACCAAAAGGTTAAAATCAAACCAATTGGATTTGCACTATGCAAACCTTATCAGACCTAGGAGTTCCAAAGTAAATTATATAAGATGCCCAGCAGACTGACATCACCAAAGTTATAAGGAAATGGCTGAACAATTAACTCAAAAGTGGCTAGAAGGTATGCACCACAAGATACAACACGTTTCACTGGTAGCACAGAGTGGAGAACAGAGAAGAGAGAACTCAGTCTTGAGGCACTTGCTTCAAACCACACTCATTTTTGGTGCCATTATTACATGGGCTAGATTTCCCCTCTCCAGATAGTGCTATCCATTATGGCTTAGTAAAATCTGGAAATTCTCATTGTTTATTGTTCAACCATTTTCCTATGTGAAGTATATTATAGACGTCTTTGTTGTCATCACCAACGTCCATTGGAGTGTTTATCTAATACATGCTCCAAATTAGAGCTTTCTATATGATTAACAGCAGAAGTGTAGGTAAAGTTTGTCTGACTACTGATGATGCCAGTCTGCTAGGCAGGTTATATAACTTAACTCTGGTTCTTTTGGGTCTATTTAGGTTTGTGAATCTGGTTGTCATCTTGAGTACAAGGTGGTGAATCTCAGTTTTTTTCCTAAAATGTCCCTTCCTGGCACTCCATTTGGGCCTATGACCTACTCCTTCTTTCAGATGTTATTTTCTGTGTATTCTAAACAAAGCAGATTTTTCAATCTATCTATCTATCCTAGTTTTTTTTTAGTCCAAAAGCAAAAATTAGGGTAGAGGAAAGCCAAACACCTAGGAAGCCTGAATAATGTAGTTTTTACTTTTACTGCCTATACTCAAGCAAAATGCATGCCTAAATTCAAGCAGCTTTGCGTAAACATCCCTAAAATGCTAAAAGGGAGGGGTTTAGCATGAATTGCTGCACTGTGATTAGCCAGTCATTGGCAGAGAAAGAAAAAAAGCAGTCAGCTTCTGTCGACTACTTTAGCTAACCCCTAGTGCTATGGGAACTCTTTGTCATGTATTCAATATATATTTGTAAAAAAAAAAGATGCCAATATAAAACATTTTTTAGAAATGATAAACATAACAGAATAAACATCAAACCAAAACCATTGTAGTTTTCTCTTGACAGATACAATTTAGACAATTATGCTAGCAGTGCTTGGAAGCATGCTCTGGGCGCATAAAAAAAATGTAAATTATCCCCACCAATCTGTTGCTTGATATTTCTAGATGTGAGGACCCGTCTCC